CGTGAAATGTGGAGATAATTTAAGTTCTTGGTAAAACCCACTGAATTAGCGACCTGGCCCAGTTATTATTTCTACTTTTATTCTCCTTTCGTTAAGGTAAACTAAATTAGTGTAAATGCATCCCTTTGACTAAACTTTACCCTAGATTTGGTTCTGGTCCAAATAATAGAAACAAAAATAGAAACTACTCTTATTCTAAGTTTATGTGGTGGAATTCCTGCTAAAAGTGCGATTGACTTTACATTCTATCGAAATAGGCCTATTTAAAACGTTCAGCGGGTTCATAGTTGAGACCATGGTTGAGACCACATTACAATACCTATTTATTTGTTTCTTCATCCTCTTTAGCCATTTAGTTGTTAGATAGTATTACATGTTATATTCAATTGATATATTATAATTTTATTTTAAAACATTTAACGAGTTTATATTCATCTATATTTGAAAAAGCTAATCAACGGCTCACGTCTAACATTTTTGCCACTGCAGTGCATGGTTAGGGTTTGATTACCCATTTGTCGAAACCAATCACGAAATTACGTTTCTCCAGCATTGACATGCATATAAAGAAAAGGAAACTACCTCAAAACATTATTGTTATAGGTTTTGCCCTGTACTTTATTCATACTATGCATGCTAGTCTATATGATCTTAACCCCTTTTCCTTTGAGAAACAGAATGTACCTAGTTAAAACCTTCTCCAAACAAAATTAATAAATCCCGCTCACTGGAACTTGTCATAGTAATTGCTTTAGTGAAAAAATATATTGTCTCTACGAACTTTTTTAGTTTAATTCTCAGGTTAGTTCCAGAGTAGCCGTTGAGGTCATTCCACTTTAAACAAAATATTGATTAAATACTAAAGTAAGCGTCAAATGTTCATGTCTACGCTTCAACTGTATTTTGTATTTTAACTGTATTTTAACTGTATTTTGTGTAACAGAAACGTTTAGAATATATCATCTCATTATAATGTTTTTGAAATAAAACAAAGCAGGAGTTTTCCATTTAATATTGAATCCATAATTAATTAGTGAAAGTGGCTATTGATTGTTAAACATTCCTTCAACACAATAATACGCTTGAAATATGAAGACATGTAAACAAAGTAAAATAATTTTGTAGACTTCGTAAACATATGTTTTAAAATGAAAATACCCCCGCCGCAGCAAACCTGCAGTTGCGTTACATACATTACATACACTCCAGCCAGCTGTTATCTTATTATTAATGTATTGTTATTGCCTATTCGTGGTTCAGGAAATAAAACATGACATTTGTAGTTTATTTTATTTATCGATATTACTTTTATTAATCAGGTATATTGACAGTATGACCTATCACCTAACTGTCCTGTTCACCTGTTTGGTCCTGTTAGGAATCAAAGAAGTCTCGAGTTAACAAAATACTGTACTAAGGCAGAATTTTGTGGAGTGAATTAAAATATCAGTAACTAGTCAAGCGGGTGTACTATAAATCCGTTATGGACGGGCGTGAGAAAAAAATAATGAAGGTCAACAAGGCACATTCTGGCGCCAAATATGAAGCACCCGAAAAGTCGCAAATGTACACAACATACTTAAAACAGTGCGCGCGCGTGAGCTTTTTACTATTCTCTTGGATACAGGTTCTTTTCCTGATTATCGTATGATATTATATCAAAACTTAAATATAATTTTTCAAGTCCTCTGCTCATAGATACTACGCACTATGTTCAAGTTGAGATAATCTTCGTCCTCTACTGTTAGACTCACACAATCAACAACAATTTTATCATGAATTATTTCGCTTATTTTTTTTTATAAATAAAATCGATATTCAATCCTTTAACTCGTATTTCAGTAGATCAAGACCAGAGATAATGTTCTCCATCTCTAAGTAGTTGTTTTTTCAATTGGTTAATTTAATTTAAGAATTACTAGCTCTTATGTTTGCTGTTGTTTTACTAAATGCGATGCATTTTTTCATTGTAAATTAGGCACAGTTTATCTGAAATCACCAAACACAATACAGGAATCCCACCAAAGATTGATATCTCAAACTCTTGGTGTCTTAATAATTAAACCTGTCAATGTTCAACAGTTCAATAATACACCAGCTACTCATTCACTAGGATGGACTTTCATTAAACTGTGTGACACTTCACAATAAAAAACACGGAAGTAAAATAATTCGGGAAAAAACTCCTTTGCAATGTGTATCCTTAAATTCATGATATTACTGTTTAACCTAGCAAAATAAATGGAATAAAATACAAATAAAAATGAAATAAATGTTGATTTACGTATCATTGATTGCAGATAAGTATTAAAACGATTATAATTATTGTTGAATCGTGAGTCAGCAGTGTGCTTTAGGTAAATAATGAATAGCTCAAACGAAAGCTGGTATTTCACTAAAGGTTTTTAGTCCAAAACATATAGGGTAATGTAATTAGAACTGCTGTAATACATCTTTAACTGAAAACATAGTGTTCGCAATGTACAAATTCATTGATAGAGCATTGAAGTTTTGTTATTAATTGTTGTAAGCAATTTAAGCTGGTTGGTAATACTAAAATATGTTTTATAAATAATAAAAACTAGCGAACCTGGCACACGTAACCGTGCACCAATTTACACAGTTTACAAATTTAAATATAATGGTCTCAACCCCTACGTCAAATAATGCTGATTCACAGTGGTTATTACAAATATGATCAATAATGTAGCCATAAGGTCAATAAAAATTAGTACGTTGTGCGCGATATTATAGTCGAGAACACTATTTTTAGAGATAGCATGGTAATGAAAACTCAGACAAATCCCGTCGATAGACTTAACTTATGAAACTCACTAATCAGAGGGGAGCCAATCCATCACCCGATGTCTTCTAACGAACAAGAATGGTCAATTCAGCTTGGATGCTTATTAAAAGGGAATCGTGTGGTGATTCCCAAACAACTTCGTGCAAGAATTAATTTTTGAAAGAACTTCATGAGGCTCATGTGGGTATAGTTCGCATGAAGGGACTAGCTCGTTCGTACGTTTGGTGGCCTAAAATTGATGCAGACATTGAGAATATGACTTTAAATTGTTTGGGATGTCAACGAGTACAGCATGAATCACCCAAAGCACCAGTTCACCATTGGGAATATCCTTCAAGGCCTATGCAAAGAATTCATGTTGATTTTGCTGGACCAAATGGTTAAAATTATGGCCATTTACTGTAGGCATCCACAATTAGTAGAAAATAATGGCCATAAAATGGTCCAGCAAAATCAACATGAATTCTTTGCATAGGCCTTCCCAACATGAATTCTTTGCTTTGGATATTCCCAATGGTGAACTGGTGCTTTGGGTGATTCATGCTGTACTCGATAACTCACTCCATATAGGAGTAAAGAGCCAGTTTGCGAATTTTGAATAACGAAATATTTGCCAAATATACATGTTTTGTACGATACATACCAGCTTTTAACAAGATTTTTGTGACAACTTTCAACGATAGCCAACGGTACAAATCTTAATATATGTTTCCCTTATTTGTATAGTACTAATTACAGTTGACTAAGTATAATCATGCATACATCTTAAATGCTTCCAAACACGTTTTTGTTTATCGTTTTTTTTCATTTGCCCAAGATTTCTGTACGTTAATCATACTATTTCCCTCCCTTCCCATAGCACATTAGGATTGCAGATACATAAATCTAACTGCCACAAACGGTTCCCTCATTCTGCTCTGCCACATTAACTACTTCCTTCACTACTTTCTACGTCGTGGTCCTGTTTAACCCTATCTTCCCCTATCTTCCCCTATCTTCCCATAGCATTTTAGGATTGCAGATACATTAATCTAATTGTCACAACAGTTCCCACACTCCGCACTGCTAGCTTGGTTGGGCGAGTCATCAGTCCCAACCCTAGTCCATCGGGAGAACGCGTCTCGTTGTACCGCCGTCTACTTGTACCGAGATACCTAGGGACAACTAGTCGTAGGTACAACCAACGCAACTAGACGTAGGTACAACTAGACATGTATGCCCTCTCGTTGTACCGCCGTCTACTTGTACCTCGATTCCTAGGGACAACAACCTAGTTGTACCTACGCGTATTTGGCGTCCTTATACTGTAGTATAGTTGTACCTATCCTTCAATTCGTTACCCTGTTTATTTGATTACTGTACGAGTAATTTTTAATTATACCCTTAATATAAAATTAGAAACTGCAGTGGTTCGAACGTTTTTATTTTAACGTTGCTATCTCAGACACTATTAGATTTAGAGAAAACATTTAGGAAGCATGAACTATTTTCTTTTAACAAATACAAATCCGCTGTTTTAAATATCCCCAATATTTTCCCTTATTAAAATTAACTTTAGTATTTTCTATCTGACAACTTGTATTTTATTGTGATTTCAGCATGTAATTGCAAATTAAAACTTTTTTTTTTAAGTTGATTTTTTTTATAAAGCTACTTCCTTGTTTATGAGTAACAGTGTGTTACATTTGGAAAATATTGGATTTTTGTGAACATTTCACATGATGTAGTTCATATAAGAATATATTGTGAAATTCGTATTCTCTTTAACATGAATCTTTATATACGGGCTTTCTATGATTGAAAATCAATACTTCTAGTATTGTTTATGTTTTTTTTTCTATGTTTTAAACTCAAAATAATCAGTAAATTATAGGCTTTAATTTGAGCCATTGAACGTTTGAAGCCTTAAGTCAAGATAATGGATTACTCAATCAATATCATAGATTTGAACATTTCTTGGATATTATAATTATTTTAACGCTGCAAGAGTAGTATGGTTCCTCTCAGGGCATACAATAACATGTTAACTGGGCGACACAAGTGTCACCCAGTCCTGAGATTTTGTCGCCCAGTGACTATGGGTGGTGCCGGCATATTTTTTTAATGGTCCACATTTTAAATTTATTTTAAATTTATTATTTATTTACCCTTAAAAAAATAATAAAAAGTAACATACTTTTAAAACAAATTTCAGGAAGGATTTTTCACCTCCTATATGTTCAAGAGAGTGTTGTACCTACGCCACTGTGGTAAAGTATGAAATGTATTTAAGAATGTTGTTTGTAAAATTTTGCTAAACAACAATTTATACATGTATTATCGGTATTATACAACATACGAAAGGTGACAGTCGATTGGGCCGTTTAGTATTTTTATTACAATAGGGGTAACCGTCATGAAGTGAAATGTTAATGTAGTACAGAGTTTAGTAAAAAATCTATGCGTGTTAACAGTAACAGTTTTGGTGAAAACGACTCTTTGACATATAAAAAAACCAACAGTAAACCGTATATCGATCCTTATTTAGTCCACGCAAAAACTACACGGATTAAGGATCACCCTACTAAAACAAAGGTTCTACATTTGTAATCGTTAGTGGTTATTGAAGAAAATATTTCCCTCAGAAAACATAATATGTTACACCGAGTAGTAACTATGTTACATATACTTTTTGTACATCGAGTTAAAAGTCGTCCAAAAACCGAAAGGTAAATCACAGAATAAATATATATTCACAGTATAGCCTATAAATAACTTGACGTTAATGTTTAGTGTTACGTAACCAGTCGAAAATGTTAGCAGATCATCCACTAGTAGTCTACATGTATACATACTGTCATTTCTTGTGTAATTTAAAACAGATTCTAAGCAATGCGTTCACCTACGATGAAACTTATCAGCATTTAATTATTGCAATGGTTCTACGCTTCATCGACTGTTTTTACTTATCCTACATTCATTTGAAATTAATCACTAAACGGAGTTAATAACGGCAATGTTAAAAACTAAGAGTAGTTTTGTCTGGTAGATGACGTGGATTTTATCATTTGCACTTTGGAATTTTATATATCATTTAACCAGTTGCATTATGAGAATTTTAAATTAAAACAATTGAAACGATTGGTTAATAATACAGTAGTAAGTTTTGGGAAATTGTATGTTATATCATTCACTATTGCATACAGAAGAACTATTGTATTAATAGTCAAAGGTCATATGCGTGTTATAATAACGAGACAAAGTCCGTACATAATGGAAATTGTATAAATGAACGTAAAACTTCACAAAACGTGTGGCGTGACGAAGTGGCGCGGAGGGGGGACGGCAGGTAGTCATATCACTGAATCTAAATATCAAGTAGCATTATCCATCCGTACATCGTTATTTATATACATATATAAAAATTTTAACGAATGGTGTTTTTGGCCTCTGGGGACATCAATAAATGAAAAAGTAAATCGGTCCCGGGTCTAGGTCTTACCATGCCACCTACGGTAATAGCTTACTTCGCTATAGGGAAATTCGCTAAAAATGACACCAAAAATGATTGAAGCAAGAATTATCAGTGGTAAGTTTAAAGGAGAAATAGTCTTAATCACATGAATACTGATGATTTCATCCGAATTACCCTCTGAATTTAAGAAACTAAAATTTCCTTTGTGTCTTGCTTTCGCAATAACCATTTTAAGACACCAGGGCAATCCCTGACTGTCGTCGGTTTAAATTTAGAATATGCATGCTTTCACACGGACAGCTGTATGTTGCGTGCTCACGTGGTTGTAGGTACGCCTGAAAACTTATATATTTATACACCTAATGAAAAAACAAAAAACATTGTTCATCCACTAGCAATTAAGTAAAATATGTTTTTTTTGTATACACTTTTATTATTCGTCGTAATGAACTAATTGCCATTTAAAATAATATTTGTTAAGTGCAGCAAAGCGCGCCGGGTAACTGCTAGTATATATATATATATATAAATCTATCTATCTATCTTACTAATAACCTAATTATAAATCTGAAAGTTTGTGAGTTTGTGTGTGTGTGTTGCTCAATCACGCATAAACTACTGGACGGATTGGGCTGAAATTTGGCATGATGATAGCTCACATTCCCGATTAACATTAAAGCATATTCTTATCTCAAAAATCCTTTCGGGCTCCGCCCCAGTGGCTCTTTAGTTCCCCATGTTAACTTTATAATTTTTCATATTTAAAAGGAATTAATGAATCTTAACAGCTGTTTCAATTAAACAAGTTGGTTCTGTCGTTATGTTCTATGATGTTCAATAGCATAAAAGTTACAAGGATTACCAACAGGGTGCAGCACTATTCTTTTTAGCGAATTTCCCATATAGGGAATAAGCTATTACCGTAGGTCTCATGGTAAGACCTAGACCCGGGACCGATTTACTTTTTCGTTTTGAGGTCCCCAGAGGCCAAAAACACCATCCGTTCAAATTCATATATATATATATATATATTTATATATATATATTTATATATATATATATATATATATATATATTTATATATGTGTCCGTTAGCGCGATAACTCGAGCAAAATTGATCCGATTTTGATGAAATTTGGTACAAACGTGTAAACCTACATTTATTCGAACGAGTTCGCGAACCAGCATAATCGGACCATGGGATCAGGGGTTTATGGGGGGTTTTATGGGGTAAAAATGGGGTTTTCTCATTTTTGACCCTAAATACTTTAAATTTCTAAATTTCTCTCTAGACCATTTTGAAGAGCTTAAAAAAACAAATAATTTAGTATATTGAAGTTTTTTTGAATGTTCATTGACTACGGAGAAAATTAAAAAATTGTAAATTTAAAATTGCCATGTTATTCTTATGGAGAATAAATAAACTGTTCTAGTTTGCTTGTTTATGGATATATTTTAATCAAATTTGGCAATTTGTCTTTTTTCATACTAACCTATCAATATTTCAATAAAAAAAACACACCTCAACATCTTCCCCGTAGCAGCAAACCTAACTACTCACTAAAATTAATGTTATTTCAATAGGAAATAAATCTGAAAATTTATAGGGAATATTTTAGTAGAAATCAAGCCGGGTAAATGGAAATTCGCTTAGTATGCAGGTTTGCTGCGACGGGGGTATTTTTAAATTTATGACAACAGCTAATTTCCAACCAAAAGGCGAGTTAGCGTAGCGAACGAGCTAACCTGAAGGCAAGTGAGCGCAGCGAACGAGCTCGAACCCGAAGGCAAGTGAGCGCAGCGAACGAGCTCGAACCTGAAGGCAAGTGAGCGCAGCGAACGAGCTCCAACCTAAAGGTGAGTGAGCGTAGCGAACGAACTTCAACCAGGACGTGAATGAGCCATGCGAATACTTATGAAGTTAAACGGGGCAAAGCCCGCGGGTACAGCTAGTATATACATATATAACAATTTTAACGAATGGTGTTTTTGGCCTCTGGGGACATCAAAATCAAAAAGTAAATCGGTCCCGGGCGTAGGTCTTACCATGCCATCTACGGTAATAGCTACTGTACTTCCTTATAGGGAAATTTGCTAAATAGAAACTAAAAACTATAAAAGGTACCTATCTAATAACTTGTTGAATTATTTACATTGAACATTATTTTTAAATAGAATATGCAATAATCGTTACAACAACAACTTCATACCTTAATATTTTATACGACAGTCAAAGACTCCACTGTTTGTTATTACGCATTTTTTTGGTAAATAAAAGGTATACAATGCTTAACTCTCCACTGAAAAGGCAAATCCAAATATAAATTATCACCTTGTCAAAACTTTAACATTATTGAACTACCCACATTAAGTTGCAAGGAGAAAACGAGACTGCTGTCGAGTAAAAAAGTGTAAATACTCGAGTATGAACTTTTATTGAAACTTGACCAGTATACCTACAATATGATGAATAAGTTAAATCCTATTTATAAAAATGTATTTCTGCGTTTATGTATGTTAGTTTCTACCTTTTTATGTTGTTTTAACTCTCGTCCTTTTGGTGGGTAGAATAAATAAAGTACAAGGTTTTCGGCACTTTTCTAACAAAGGGCTATTTTTACACATAACAAAAAAACTACTGATGTAATCATCATGAAATTTTAACAGCTAATAGAAAATATACTTATAAAACAAATTTATATGTTTTAAAATTTTTCATCGGTAAAAAAAATCTCTTACGATATTTGTAATGGCTTTTAATTGAGAGACGGAACAGTTAAGAAACTCAACTGAAAGCTTGAATTAAAGCTATTAAAAATATAAATATGTAATTTGATTTGCAAATTATGTGCTAACACATATTTGAGTCACACAGCTGAGTGGTACTCGTAATCCGTGTTTTTCTAATTAGTTTAGTAACTTTCCTGTATAGCTCCAAATTTGAGTATCTAAACTGTATTACAAGTGACGTTGTAGGCAGAATCTGCCCGCATGACGCCACGCGGCGCGGCGGGTAGCCCCTATATTACAATTTAAATTACAACCAAACTACGCCAGCTAAAAATTTTAAAAAATATGATCCAAAAGGTTCAACTCTTTAGCTACAAAATCCACCGTTTTTTAACTTACCTGACCAAAAAATAAAAAAAGTAGCAGCCGACGAACTTTTTCATGTCATATTTTAAAACTCATTTAAAAGTACCGACTTTATTTGAAGATTTAAAATAGAAAATACTAACTTTTAAGCTTTTAATTAAAACCAATAGTGTCATAGACTTATTGACTTCACTCATACGAAGTTTCAACCATATAACTTAAGTCTAAGTAGGCTAAATGTCGAGTTATTTTGAAGCGGAACATTGAGTTTTGGGGCCGTTTAATAAGCTGTGGCAACCACTGTAGAGACTTCTGGCTCAGACTGTACCGTTGGAGGTTATGAAATTTGGACATTATGAACCGCACTGTTTATTTGGTATCTTCACGTTGGAGTTTGTGAAATTTGGACATTGTGAAACAGTGATTATTTGAATGTTATAGATTTGGAGCTTATGAAATTTGGAGGTTATGAACCGCTCTGTTTATTTAATATTTAAACGTTGGAGTTTGTGAAACTTGGACATTGTGAACCAGTGATTATTTGAATGTTATAGATTTGGAGCTTATGAAATTTGGAGGTTATGAACCGCTCTGTTCATTTAATATTTTAAGCGTTGGAGTTTGTGAAATTTGGAGTTTATGAAACGCTCCCAATTGGTCGTACCTTAGATACTTGTCTGTTTTACAAAATAATTCGTA